TGAAGCATAATCTTTGTACTACCCATCACACGTTTCCCTACCTCTCCCCAAAAAAAAGGGAGTTCAACACCTCCTCCCATACAACAGCTCAAAGGGTGGCATACCAATGCTCGAATGATGGTTGTTGTTATAAGAAAACTCGGCCAATCGTAATTACGCGTCTCAACTCCCTCCGAAATCCAAAACACATGCCCGAAGCATGTCCTCAAGCGTCTGAATCGTCCGCTCGCTCTGTCCGTTAGTCTGTGGGTGGTAGGCGGTGCTAAAATGCAACCTCGTGCCCAACTCCTCATGGAATTTCTTCCAGAATATGGAAGTGAAATCCACATCTCGATCTGAGACGATCGAGATCGGTACTCCATGCCGCGATACCACCTCCCTAACGTACAACTCTGCCAGTCTTTCCGCAGAAGAGCTCTAACTGATGTAAGGAAATGTGCGCTCTTCGTCAACCTGTCCACAATCACCCAAATTGCATCGACACCCCTAGCAGTCCTTGGCAATTTGGTGACGAAATCCATGGTAATTTGTTCCCACTTCGACTCGGGAATCTCTAACGGCTGCAACTTACCATGCGGACGTTGGTGCTCGGCCTTAACCTTGCGACAGGTCAAGCACCTCTCTACGAACCATGCGGCATCTCTCTTCATACAAGGCCACCAATACTGCCTCTTTAGGTCGAAATATATCTTAGTGGCCCCTGGGTGTATCGAGAACTTAGATCTATGCGCCTCCTCCATCAAGATGGTACGTGTTCCTCCTACAAACGGTACCCAAACCCGACCCTGGAAGGTCATATGTCCTCGACTATCGGTAACAAACTTCGATACCTGCCCGATCACTCGCTCCTTTTTGCGGTTCTCCAGTCTCATGGCCTCCACCTGAGCCCCTCGAATGGTGTCCCACTGCGGAGTCATCACAATCAATCTCATGCAAACATCTTGCATCAGGGTGCCCCCCGTCCTATGCCTCAGGGCATCATCTACAACACTAGCCTTGCCCGGGTGGTACAGGATCTCGCAGTCATAATCCTTTACCACATCCAACCATCTCCTCTGGCGCATATTCAGGTTGGGCTGATCCATCAGGTACTTCAAGCTTTTGTGGTCCGTGTATATGGTACACCGAACCCCATATAGATAGTGACGCCAGATCTTGAGGGCAAACACCACTTCCCCCAACTCTAGATTGTGGGTGGGATACCTCGACTCATGAGGTTTCAGCTGCCTCGATGCATATGCTATCACATGCTCCCTCTGCATGAGCACCGCTCCCAACCCTGATATCGATGCATCACAGTACACCACAAAATCCTCCACCCCTTCCGGGAGTGCGAGCACCGGAGCTTCGCACAATCTCTGGCGAAGTGTCTAAAATGAGGTCTACTACTCTGGACCCTATGAAAAAGTAACACCCTTCCGGGTCAACTTGGTGAGTGGCACGACGATCATAGAGAAATCCCTGATAAATCTCCGATAATAACCAACCAACCCTAGGAAACTCCTGATCTCGGTAGGTGACCTCGGTACCACCCAACTCCTCACCGCCTTGATCTTTGCCGGATCGACCAATATCCCCTCTGGTTAATGAGGTGCCCTGGGAACTGGACCTCCCGTAACCAAAAATCACACTTGGAGAATTTGGTGTAAAGCCTCTCCAATCTCAGAACTCCGAGGACCTCCCCTCAAATTCTCCTCATGTTGTTCTCTGGATCTCGAATACACCAAAGATATCATCGATGAATACGATCACCGAACGATCCAACATCGGCCTACACACACTGTGCATGAGATCCATGAACGCTGCTGGTGCATTGGTGAGCCCGAAAGGCATCACCACGAATTCGTAATGCCCGTAACAAGTCCTGAACATTGTCTTCTGGATATCTACATCCCAAACCCTCATCTGGTGATATCCCGATCTGAAGTCTATCTTGGAGAACCAAGACGCTCCCTGCAACTGATCGAACATATCATCGATCCTTGGTAATGGGTAATGGTTCTTGACCGTCAACTTGTTCATCTCCCGGTAATCAATACACATCTGGTGTGAGCCATCCTTCTTCTTGACAAAAAGGATCGACGCTCCCCAAGGTGAGCTACTCGGTCTGATAAAACCCTTTCCCAGCAGCTCCTGAAGCTGCGAGAATAACTCCTGCATCTCAGGTGGCACAAGGCGATAGGGTGCCTTGTCAATAGGTGCCACCCCCGGTACCAAGTCGATACGAAACTCCACCTGCCTCTCGGGAGGCACACCCGGCAACTCCTTGGGTAAAACATCAGGGAACTCCCTCACAATCGGGACCTCATCAATCGAACTTGGCATTCCAGCGGCCACTCGCATGTCCATCACATAGGCCACAAATCCCCTACAGCCCTACTGCAAACTTTGCCTCGCCCTAGCAGCTGAACAAAATGCTAACTCAGGACGAGTACCCTCACTGTACACCGTAAGTACTCCCCCACTAGGATCTTGAATCATCACCAACTGATGCTCGCAGTCTATAATAGCTCTAAATTGGCTCAACCAATCCATGCCTACTATGACACATACGTCCCCCATCGCAATTGGGACTAGACCGATCGGGAACCCCACACCGAATATCTCAAGTCTACATCCTCGAATCACCTCCGTGGAATACACTGCACGCTCGTTAGCTATAGAAACTCGTAGAGGTCAACTCAAAGCCTCTCAAAAAATATTGATATGATGAGTAAAAGCTGACGACACAAAAGATCGACTCGCTCCCGAGTCAAATAGCACTAAGGCAGGTACATATTTCACAAGAATGGTACCTACGCATAACATAATATAAGCATAATATCTCATAATCAAATAAATAGAGAGAAGAGTACATACCGACCACAACGTCGGGTGTTGCGCGGACCTCCTCCGCTGTCAACTGGAAGTGTCTCCTACGAGCCTTCGGCGCCTCGACCTTTGCTGGCCGAATCTCGGTAGCCCTAGCAGCAGGCGCAGATCCCTACACTGATCCCTGATGTAGCTGAGGGCACTCGGCCTTCCGATGGCCGGTCTGGTTGCAATGGAAGCAAACAGAAAATCCCTTAGGGCAATCCCTCGCGTTATCCCCCTCCTTCTCGCACTTGTAGTATACTCCTGGTCTGCACGACCCCTCGTGACTCTTGTCGCACTTCCCACAAGTGCGGCCCTTCGTGCTCCCATATCTCGAATTGGCGGGCCTGGCCCGCTTGGCTGTCGGCTGAGACTGAGCCGGCCGCCGATCCATCCTCTGTGACTCGACCTCCTCCCTGGCCTAAGTCTCCAACTCAATCTCCCTTTTCTGTGCATTTTCCTGGAGCTCAACAAATGTCCGGTAAGTCGATTTCGCCATAGACTCCCGAATATCTCTCCTCAGAACACTCAGATACCGGCTCATGCGAGCCTGCTCGGTAGACACCTGCTTAGGGAAAAACATCGCCCTCTCATGAAACTTCCTGGTAACAACTATAACAGAATTAGTACCCTGCTTGAGGGATCATACTCATCTCTGAACATGGCGGTAAACCTCTCCCAGTCACCTCAGAAATCTCTGCTAGAGTGAAGCTCTCCGTCACGCACTTCCACCAATCATTTGCTCCCAAGCGGATCTAGTTCATAGCGAACCGTACCCTTAAGTGCTCTGGACAAGAACACGTGTAGAAACATCCCTCGATATCAGAGATCCACCTCATCACAGCAATCGGCTCCTGCATCCCATCGAACTCTGGTGGATTCGTGTTGCTGAACTCCCGAAACAACAACGAATAACCTCCCTGAGATCTGGCAGCAGCAACAGCAGGAGTAGCTGTAGCAGCCGCAGCCTCAGTCAGTAATGCATACCGCTCGTCAAAGGTCTCAATCAATGTGGTCCTGATATCCCCGAACATCTCTGGGATCTCGGCCCGGATGGCAGCAGCCACCTCCTCATGAATCAATCGACGGATCTCCTCGTCGCTGACACCGCTGCTCCCAAGTGTGTGTCGTGTTCCAACCATGATGTCTCTGAAATCCAACATAAAAATATCAGAGATCCGGTGTCTTCAGGAGCATACTCGCACTCGATAACGCAACCATACTCGATCTCCAATATCCTAAGGGTTCTTACTTGGATTGCTCACAGATCCAGTGTCTTTAGTAGTATAGGCCCTATACTACCAACGATACTGCATCAGCATTCACCCCAAGTCCTCCTCCTTGGATCTTGGATCGCAATTACTCTACTCTCGCTATGCATTGGCTACCCTTCGATAGACCTCTCATGGGCTCCTAACTATTACCTACTCACTCTCAAGGCATCTCATAGCAGCAGTAATCTCCTAGGCTAAGGCATCACAAATATTGCCACTCTAGTCCTAATATGAATACCTAGCCTACTCTAGCATGCATAACATAACATATCATATCTCATAACTCATAATGTAAGGGTATTTTGGGGATTCACCGTTCGGGCGCTGGCTGACCGTACACACTGTTCCGCTCTGGTTGCCTCTAAACCTCTTACTCTTTTTAGAAAATTTAGTTTTATTGTTGAGAATTTCTCAAATCCTCAGTTTGAGTTAAGATACGCCCGAAGGTGCATCCGAGTCCGTCAAACCAAGGCTCTGATACCAACTTGTAACGATGAGATTTTCAAATAAAAAAAAAAAACATTTTTCAACAACCAAATATATATATATATATATATATATATAGGGAAAACTACAATAAAGTCCCTAAGTATTGCCCGTATAATCGATTTAGCCCTTATATATATATATATATATATATATATATATTTTTTTTTTTTGCAATTTAGTCCTAAATACCTGTAAACATAATCAAAACGAGATATTTAATAGGTTAGCCGGTATCTAACTGATGTGGCAGCTTACGTGGAAGTCATCATGTGAAATAACATCCTACGTGCCATTTAAGAGGGCTAAATCATTGAATCGAGCTCGTCTTCTTCAATCTCCAGTCAAAGGAGCGAACGATTAGGGCAAATTGGCAACAGGAAATCGATGTCGAGTTCGTCAAGCACCAACATCAGAACGTGCTATTGTGGAGATACGGTTGGGATGTGGACATCATGGACTCGAAAGAATCCAGGTCGGAGGTTTTTTGGTTGCCCAAATTACATGGTATAGAATCTTCAAAACTCACTCAAATTCTTCTAATCCTCTAAATTTCCCATTTTTCTATGTTAAAAACATGCATCTTGCTATGTTATGTAGGATGAAGAGAAGGACTGTGGGTATTTTCGTTGGATTGACCCACCACTATTGAATAAGTGGTATAAAGAAAGAATATATGAGTTAGGAGCTGTTGCTAATGGGGGTGTAGCTATTCCTTTTAATAACCCTGTTAATGAAGGTGAAATACCTGTTGATGGCCCTATTGCCCCTGTGAATGTTGATGTCCCTATTGCCCCTACGAATGCTCTTGAACCTGATAATCAAATTGCAATGTGTGACAATACACATGTGCCTAGTAATGAATTTGGATTCTGCAAGTGGATGATGGTTTGTTTTGTTTGTTTCATTTTAGGGATGATGTATGGTTATTTTAGTGTAAGTTGTAGGGTATTATGGTATGGTAGGGATGATGTAATCTTTTTGTTTGTTATCATCATGATGTAATAGATAAATTTTGATGTAATAGTTTAATGTTTCGGTTAATGAAATGGCAATATGTTATTATGGTTTGCATAAATGGTGTACACTAGACAAATATAACCATGATTTAACAATTGGTGTTGAATTTGGGACTAAAATGATCACCATTGACAACAAACCAATAAAGCTCCAAATCTGGGACACAGTTTGTCTCCTTCTTTTCTTCTATACCTTATTCTCTTGTTACATTTATTATAAAAAGAAATCTTAAAAAAATCTCTTCTTTTTTCTTTATATATTTGTTAGGATGGTCAAGAATCATTTAGATCAATAACAAGATCTTACTACAGAGGTGTTGCTGGTGCCCTTCTTGGTTTGCATAAATGGTGTACACTTGACAAATATAACCATATTAAGGGCATTCACAATGTTTCAATGTGGCTAAAATAATTAAACAACAAACTCAATATGTCATTACCAACCATGTTAAGGGCATTCACAATGTTTCAATGTGTTTACAAAAGATGTACAAAATATGGTTATCAGTAATTTAAGGGCATTCACAAAAGATATACAAAAGTAGCATTCACAAAAGATGCACAAAAGTAGCATTCACAAAAGATGTACCAAAATACCCTTACTACCCTTAACACCCTAACACCCTAATCCAACTCCAATGGTGAATTTGAAGAAGTCCCAACACATCCCATCTTCTTCAGCTTGGTTTTAACAATCCTCTCAGAGGGCCTTCTTTTTTTCACAATCCTAAGGTGTACTGGTAATTCATGGGTGTCATTAATGCCTTCTTCTTCTTCCTCACTTTCTGGTTGTGTCTCAGGGATATTTTCTTCATCCCCATCTTGTGTCTCTGTCTGAGGTGGATACTCCTCTTCCTATAAAACATCAAGCAATTAATAACATAAACGAATGTAAACATTAAGGTAATATAGAGGGTTTACCATAGACATAGGAAGAACTTGTTCAATAGTGTCATTGTAATCATTGAGTTGTTTCATATGTGAATCTGTCAGACTAAGTTGGTCTCCCTGGCATTCTTCTAGCTAAAGGGGGTAGAGGCTTTATGTATGATGTTCTAGACCATAAATTTCTACCATTCACAGGTAGTATATTGTTTGCATATATGGCCTTGAACCTGTCCACATGAAACCACTCACTTATGAAATGAACAGGATCTTGTCCAGTGAATAATATTGCACACTGTGCATGTACACATGGAATTCCTGAGATATCCCAAAGCCTACAGTTGCACACTCTGCTTTGTAAGTTAACCACGTACCCTTCTAATCCATTCCTGGCTTCAAAAATAGATGGTCCACTTGGATTCACATTCCAATTCCTACAATGGCATTACTAAATGAAATCATAACAATGAAATTAGAATAATGATAACAAGGAACAATAAAAATGCTAAGACAAACCTCAAATCCTCTCCAAACTTGTTCATTTTTTTGATAGCAGCTGGACAAACCACTGATTCCCACTTTTCTGCCTTTTGTAACATATGGTAGAACCTATCCATCATGTACAACCTAATTTCTTCAAACATTGCTAGAAGGGGTTTCTTTCTAGCATCCAATATGATGGCGTTGAAGCACTCTGCAATGCCATTTTCAACTGCCTCACATGCTACATCAGTCCTAAAAAATGCCCTGCACCATGTGTGAGGATCTCTTGCGATCAAATGTTCATAAGCATTTGGATTAACCTCTTTTATATCATCCATTTTCCTGAGAAATTCACTCTCTACAGTTGATAAGGAAGCTGCCCAGAACATATTCTTGAACTCCACTCCAGAATAGGTCTTCCTAAAGTTAGCATATATGTGTCTTGCACACTGTCTATGCTCCACATTTGGTAGGACTTCTTTGGTTGCTTCAAGCAATCCCTACAATTTAATGAATACATAAACATATAAGATGATGTTAAGGAAAAATCATAAATATGCAAAGAAATTACAAACCTTATGTTGATCAGAAATTACAGTAAACCCTCCTCCATCTAGCAGATTAAGATCCTCTGTGAGCAGTTCCAAAAACCATTTCCAATTAGCTTTGTTTTCAATGTCAACAACTGCCCAAGCAATTGGATAAACTTGGTTGTTTGCATCCCTCCCTATTGCTGTGAGTAATTCTCCTTTACATGTCCCTTTCAAGAAAGATCCATCTAGACCAATTACCCTACGGCACCCTATTTTCCAACCTTCCTTGATTGCTTTAAAACACAAATACATCCTGTGAAAGTATGTTGTTTGATCTGGATTTACAGTGACACCAACTTGGACAGTGCTACCAGGATTTGACCTTAGTAACTCATGGCAATAGTCCCACACCCTAGCATAATGTTCTGTAAGTTTACCATCTATAATGGTCATTGCTCTACACCTTGTTCTGTAAGCCTTAGACCAAGATACACCACAATGAAATTTGGTCCTAATTATTGATTGCATCTCCTTACACTTCAAGTTAGGTTTCATTATCAACTCCTTCAAAAAGTGTCTTGCTAGCCATCTGGGACTCAGTAAATTTGAAATATTGAAATTTCTAACACATTTGTGCTCATCGACTAAGGTTTTAATCTGAAAAGACCTTTCTTGAGTCATCCAGGAAGCATGAACTCTGAATGGGCAGGGTTGAGACTTCATCTTAGAACCACATTTGGCAGTTAATCTCACAGTGTCACACTTCGCAAATTTAATGTTATACCCTGACTTAATAGCATAATTAGTGAGACATTGTTGCAACTGATGTGGTGATTCATACCTTTCACCAAGAAGGGGCTTCATCTTATTCCACTTAACTGATGGGTCGTGAATGGGGAAGCCTGCACCAACCGCATCTCCCAAATCAAGATCATTAGCCCCTGCTGTGTCATCGATTTCCTCTTCTGAACCAAACCCTTCTTCATCTTCATCAACTAAGTCATTGTCTTCATCGGCTTCATTATCTTCATAATCAGAACTGAAGTTAAGGAAAGCATCCTTGCATCTCTCTTTACCCTGTGTCTTGAAATCATCTTCTTCCAGTTCCACATCTATGTGCTCAGTATCGAGCACCTCGTCATCATCTTCGTATTCTTCAGAGTCGTATTCTTCAGATGACTCATGGCGAACTTCTTCTGATTCGACAACCATTGGGTTTTACCTTCGTTTCTCTCAGTAAAACCTTACTTCTTTCGTGTATCACTCTGTAAAAACCCTATCTTTTTCTCTCAATCGATTTACCAGACGTCGAATGCAGTGGAAATGGAAGGGTAAAACTCACTTGTACACGTAAGGTGGGATACCGGCTAACCTATTAAATATCTCGTTTTGATTACGTTTACAGGTATTTAGGACTAAATTGCAAAAAAAATATATATATAAGGGCTAAATCGATTAGACGGGCAATACTTAGGGACTTTATTGTAGTTTTCCCTATATATATATATATATATATATATAATCTCCTCTCTGTGTGTACGGGTCATGTCAGCGCCTTTCCACGGTCCTCGCTAGTAATTGAAACACATAACACAACAATTGTAAGCATAAATGCTTAGTGAGTTCCCCAAAATACCATATACAACACATACGCCACTCGAGGGTACTATATGATCCTCCGGTAGATGTGTGTCAGCGGGACCCTGCAGTCCCATAGCTCGTTGGACCCTTTGGTCCGATCATAGCTCGTTGGGCCCTCTGGCCCGATCTAAATCGTTGGACCCTCCGGTCCAGTCTGTATCGTTGGACCCTCCGATCCGGTCTATACCATCATATAGCATACATATATCACATAGCACACAACTCATTCGTAACACATAATCTCATACATAGCACATAATCTCATACATAGCACATAAGACCTTCCGGTCAACTCATAAGACTACTCTAGGCAACCTATAGTGAGAAGACTCACTTCGTGTAACTCGGTAATTTGGAAATCTCGGACTCCATCACATAGGATCTAGCCTTCACCTAATCATACGAAATAAACACTCGTCATCTACACATTTCCCAAGGCTAGACCATTCCCTCTCTTAGCACTCCCAGGAGGGTAAAAGACCATTTTACCCCTCTGAAGGCTCAAATACTCTAAAGTTAACCAAACCCTAAAAGTCAACCAAAGTCAACGGTCAAGCTTTTGACCAGACTCACCGAGTGGACAATTGTGACTCGGCGAGTTCAGTCATGAACTCACGTCCTCAAAATCCCTAATGACTCACTGAGTCACTTACCCAACTAAGCGAGTTACCATCTGCGTGATTCATGGGGAAAAACCATTCTACTCCCTAAGTCTGTTCTTGGACTCGGCAAGTTCAAGCCATGCTCAAACTCAAATGACCTCCTGAGGTCACATTTGTTCCTCTAACCCATACATCTGGCCTCCTTAAGCAAGATAAACACGTAAACTTTGGATCTTGATGCCCATGGAAAGACCTAATGGCTCTATTTGAAGAAATGGCCCTAATATGCCATCCCAAGCTCTTATCTCCCAATAACACTCATAAAGAAAGAGCAGTTAAAGTCTCTGGACCACTTTGGATCCAGATCCAAAGTCTCAACATAAGAAGGGATCAATTTCAGCACGATCCATACTCTAAAGGGGCTACTAACCCTAACTCTCAAAGATAAATACCAAACTGAAGAAGGATTGAAATATATACCTTAGTACGAAGTCCCTAGACTCTGAAATCCACAGAATATCGCCCTCTTTAGTTCCCTCATGCCTTGGCCACCTTCTTCTTTCAAAAATACCCACACAAATGTCAAAAATGACCTCTTATTCCTCATAAACGCTCTGGATCTCTTAGGGTTCCTCTCAGAGGTATGGTAGCCGCAAATGGTGGCTATAAGCCCCTTTAAATAGGTCCCAAACCCCGCTAATTAGGGTTTCATTAAACAGCGTGGACTCACCGAGTCCACGAATGGACTCGCCGAGTTCGCCATTAAATCACTCCGACCATCCGCGATCCTACTTGGCGAGTCTGAGCGCCTACTCGCCAAGTCTCTCTCCAAAAACTCAATATAAATGCATAAAATAAGATACCTAGGAATCCAGATGTTACATACAGGGCCACCAATAATCTCTCTTTAGGTCCAAATACATCTTAATGGCCCCGGGATGGATCAAGAATCTCTATCTTTGCGCCTACTTCATCAGTATGCTAAGTGCCCCGCCCATTAACGACACCCAAATCCGACCATGAAAGGTCATAAATCCTTAGCTATCGGTAACAAACTCGTATACCAGCCTAATCACCCGCTCTCTCTTGTGGTTCTCCGGTATCACAGCCTCTACCTCGGCTTCTTGAATGGTATCCAACGTCGGATTCATTACCGTTATCCTCATATATATATATATATATATATATATATGTGTGTGTGTGTGTGTGTGTATATATATATATATATATATATATATATATATATATATATATATATATCGAATGGGGGACTCTGCAGCCTGCGGCTCAGAGCATTGGCTACTACGTTAGCCTTTCCTAGGTGGTACAAGATCTAATAGTCATAATCCTTTACCACATCCAACCATCTCCTTTGGCGCATATTCAGGTTGGGTTGATCCATTAGATACTTCAAACTCTTGTGGTCCGTGTATATGATACACCGAACCCCATAAAAATAATTGCGCCATATCTTGAGGGCGAACACCACTGCCCCCAACTCCAAATCGTGCGTGGGATACCTCGGCTCATGAGACTTTAGTTGTCTCGATGCTATGCTATCACGTGCCATGTCTGCATAAGCATTGCACCCAACCCTGATATAGATGCGTCATAATACACGACGAAATCCTCCATTCCCTCTGGAAGGGCTAACACCGGTACTTCGCATAATCTCTCCCCAAGAGTCTCAAACGAGGTCTGCTGCTCGGGACTCAAAGTAAAAGCAACACACTTTCAGGTCAATATGGTGAGGGGAACAACAATCTTGGAGAAGTCTCTGATAAATATCCGATAGTACCCGGCCAATCCTAGAAACTCCAAATCTCGGTGGGGG